TTTCCAGGAGTTGCTTAGCATCATGCTGTTTAGTATCCATGTCTTTGTGGGTTTGGGGGAAACTTTGTTGGTGTTGATATTTATTTTTATTCCATTATGGTCTGAGAAGGTACATGGCAGTATTTCAATCATATGGAATTCGTTTATGCTTGATTTATGGTGGAGGATGTGGTCAATCTTACAATATGTTCCATGTGGTGATGAGTAGAGTATATATTCCATGGCTGTTGGGTGAAGTGTTCTGTAGGTATCAATTAAGTCCATTTGGTCAAGTGTCACACATTGGGGTTCCAGATTGCCTTGTTAATTTTTTGTCTTGATGATCTGGCTAGAGTTGTGAGTAGACTGCTTAAGTCCCCAGCTATGATAGTGTTAGAGTCAATATCTTTTTAAAGTTTACCTAGAAGCTGCTTTATGAAAGTTGGTGCTCCTATGTTGGTTGCATATTTGTTTAGGATGGATATTTCTTGTTGATGGATTGAACGTTTTATCTTTATGTAGTGACCTTCCATATCTTTTTAAATTCTTAATAGGTTAAAGGGTATTTTGTCTGATATTAAGATTGTGACTCCTGCTTTCTCTTGTGTTCTATTTGCCCTAAATTTTGTTTCCCAACCTCTTACTTTGAGGCTGTGAGTGTCCTCTCTGGTGAGATGAGTTTCTTTGAGATAATATATTGTTGCCCCATGATATTTTATCCGTTTTGCCATTCTATGTCTTTTCAGTGGTACATTTAGTCTATTCACATTCAGGCTAATTATTGAGATGTGAGAGTTTATCCCTGTCATGAGGTTCTTATAGAGTTTGTTGTTGTTGCTGCTGTTTGTTTGTTTGTTGTCTTTCTTTTGATTTTTGGGTTGATTCCTGTGTGCTTTCAATCTTTTTCTTGCATTCTTGGGAAGGGCATTGTTGTTCTCATCTTCCTTTCTTCTGTGTTTAATACTTTCTTAAGTGTTCTTGTAGAGCTGGTCTGGAGGCAGCGTAAGCTCTTAGGGATTGAAAGTTTGGGAAGGATTTTAATTCTCCATCGCTGATGAAACTTAGCTCAGCTGGGTAGGTAATTCTTGGTTGAAACTGTTTATCTTTGAGAACTTTGAAGATTGGGCTCCAAGCTCTCCTAGCCTGAAGTGTTTCTGTAGATAAGTCTACTGTTATTCTAAGTTATCTTTCCTGGTGGGTAGTCTGACCTTTTTCTCTTGCTGCCTTTAGGATTTTTTCTTTTATGCCTACTTTGTGTAGGTGAATTACTATGTGTCTAGGAGTTGGTCTTCTCATTTGCTGTCTTTGAGGGGTTCTCTGAATCTCTTGTGTTTGAAAGGTCATGTCACTGATGAGGTGATGGAAGTGTTCTTAGATAATTTCATGGAATGTTTGTTCCAGAGTGGTCTCTGTCTTGCTATCTTCCTCAGGAATTCCAATTAATCTTAGGTTCAGCCTCTTGAAATAACCACTCATTTCTCAAAAGTTTTGTTCTTTCTTTTTAAGCTTCTTTTCTATGTTTTTAACAGTTTGAGTTAGTTCCACATTTTGGTCCTCAAGCTCTGAGATTCTTTCTTCTGCTTGGTTAATTCTGCTTTCCATGCTTATCAATTTGTTATTTGTTTCATTTGCTGTATTCTTTATTGCTATTACCAGCTTCATTCTTTCCTTTTAACTCTCCTTGATTCTATTTATTCTCTCTGTTAATGTCTTGATATCTGGGTTTTGGGGTTGAGACCCATCATTCTGGGGACTCTTAATTATTTGTGTTCTGAAGTCTGTATTCTCAGTAGCTGACCTCCCAGGGGTCTGTGTGAGACACATATTCTTCCCTTGGGTACATTTGTGTTGATGTTTCTTCCCCCTTTTTTAACCTCTTCTTTAATTCTGTTGTTTGGGGCAGTGGGGTGGGGTGGCTAGCTTTTACTTCTGTTTACTCAATCTCCTATTCTTCCTTATGTGAATCTTCTGTCTTTGTTCAATTCTGAAACTGGACTATGGGTGGAGAGCTGTACTTTTTGCAGTTTTGAGATTTAATTGAGGAGAGAACTGAGATTCAGAAACTATCTGCAGATCCCAGTATCCACTGACAGGTGTATGGGCACCCTAGAACCTACTTCTCACAGCCTTACAATCTTCCATGTAGTGGGGATTATAGGTTTACCCTCTAAAAGCAAGATGAGGTAAGGAAAAGAAAAGGAATGGAGGGGAATGAGAGGATGGTGGAGAAAGAGAAAAAGAAGAGAGAAAACAGACAGGCATACCAGCTAACAAATGAAAAGAGAGGCAAACAAAGACAGAAGAGAGAGAAAAAAAACCCAAAAACATACAGACGATCATACAACACACAATCAAAAATATCCATACACAAACAAGAAGTATAAAAAATAGCAACAAAATAACAGAAACAAAGCAAGTATGAAAACATAATCAAAAAGAGGAAAAGAAAAAAACACTAAAACAAACAAAAAAATCCAAGCAGAACAAACAACAACAACAACAAAAACTCACTCTGAGGCAGTTCCTGTAACTTCAACTTCCTTTAACTCTGGTCTCCATCCCCTTCCCTCTGCTCCCAGCCCAGGCTGAAAGGGTTGCTCTCATTGTGGGTCAGATGCCCCACAGACTACTGTAGGAGGAGGGTGGATCAGATCTGGACTCACCCAGCTTGCTGCTACTGTTGTCAAGTCTCCCACTCAGATCTGACGTGTTTGTGCCTGTTCTAGCATGGGAGGGGAGTCTGTCTCTCTGAGTTTGATTAGATAACCTCCAGGTCCCGGGTTGGAGGCTGCATGGAGCTGAGCAAGGCAATGCAGGCCTCTTCCAGGTCCCGGCACAGAGAAAATGGCTCTGGCTGGCTTTTCCTCACCGGTGGTGGGGCTCCTCTTCAGCTCTCCCCATGGATCTGGGGCTCCAGCTGTTCTGCTGTCACAGGTGATGGTATGGGCCTGGGTGCCAGGTGATGAGGATCAGTTGCATTTGGCAGCGTTTTCTCAGCAGAGCCCCAAGAACATCAGACGATCCTGTGTGCTGGCAGCTCCAATCTCAGGGGGGTAGGGGGTTGCAGTCACCTCCAGAGGAGATCCCCAGGTGCATGAACTCAAGTCTCCCCTCAGACGGACCTTCATTCACCCACTGGCACAAACCCACTCACAGAGAGTCTTTATGGATACTCACTTTTGCAGTCCTCACAGTCCTACCTGTCCCGTTGCCATCTTCCCGGAAAAATTCACATTGTGTTTCTGATGTGCATTGTCTACGAATCACACTTCCTCCACTGATTAGATGGACAAAAGGTCTTATAATTTTCAGTCCACTAGGTTATAAGTTAGCATCTTCACATGTAAGGTGGTAAGACTAAGATGGATAAAAGGAAACAGAATGATTATTTATAAATTATAAATTTTTATAAATTATAAATTTGCATCATTAGAAGCATTCTGTAATGTTTTCCCTTTCCTTCTAAGAGTAATTTTCTTTTGTTGAAAAAAAAAATTAATTGTGAAAGTAAGATGTAGAGGAGGTAAATTGCTTGAGGATCCCACAAACAGATTTCTGACATCCTATGTGCTTTAGATTGTTGAGCCCTACAGTGTTATAAGAGACACACACAATACATCATGAAAGTAATGAGAAAACACAGTAAGAATCTTAGGAATAAAAGTTGTCAGGAGAACAAGAATATTAGAAATCTATTTTTCTGTATGATTAAGTCAGAGAGAAGTTATGAAAACTTAGAGAAATCTATTGTGCTACATCCCCAACAGTCACTTTTTTTCATCTAGAAAGCCCAACATGAACATCAGGAAGGTTGCCTTTTGTTACTAATAGAGTCACTGAAGTTTACTGAAGGAGATTTAAGAATACTCTGAACCACCAGTGGGGAGCCCTCTGAACCATTTCTATTATATTCAGGCATTTTTGGTATGAAGTGAATAATAAGTATGCAAACAGTCTGTCATAGGCATTTTTGGTTACTTCCTTGCATTACCATTGTATATCACCCATACGCGTGTTCTAAATGGGAGTTAGGGTTTTGGACTCCTCCTCCTGCCCCCATTCTTGGATCTCAGTCAGAAGAGATGAACAGTGATGTTAGTGTTTTTTCTCCCTATACTCCTCTTTTCTCATAGTAGTTATGTTAGGGTGCTGGATTCTAAATAGGTACCTGAAAAACTCACTAATTCAGTAGCCACTGAGTCATTTGTATTTTCTTGAAGAAAGGAGTGTACTTAACATGAGAAGTTATGGGGAAACAAAACAGAACAGTGAAAATAGCAGACTTCAGTGTATGAACAAGTCTTGCTGTCTCTCTGCAAAGGTGTATCCCACTAGGGATTTAATCATAAAAGGAAATGAGGATAACTTTTCTGCAAAATTCAGAAAACAAAAGTGTCAGCTTTTTTCCATATAGCTTTTAGGTTGAATTGACTAAATCATGTGCCTAATGTATTTGGTTTTAGTGATTTAAAAAATCTTTTACTTCCTTTCCTACATTAGCAGCTTTATTTAGTTGATAAAAGCAAACAAGTAATTACCAGAATGTTCACTATAGCCTTGTTAATGATAGCAAAAAAAACCCCTGAAACAGAAATGTCCAAAAATAGAGATCTATATAAATAAATTGTTACATCTTTAGAATCCTAACCATTAAAAAGAATAAACTAGATAAACGTGTGTGGATATGAATGGATCACCAAGATATATTGTTAAGGGAAAAAAGTCAGATGCAGAACAACATGCATAATAAGATTTTATTTATACTTAAAAAATGTTTATATAGTATATAGCATATATAATATACTTGTATAGGCATAGTAAATTTCTGGAAGGATACATGAGAAGGCAGCAATAGGTATGACCTTTGGGTAGTAGAACTGGTAGGGGAAACTTACTTTTCATTTTATGCCCCTTGATTCTATAAGAAAGGTTTTCTTATTTTGCACATATTATTTACTTTAATAATAATTCAAAATTAGTTAAAACCTTAAATTTTAACCTTTGAACTTTCTGGTGTTTAGCTTCTCATAGGTTTTTTGGTCTTTCTGCTTCCTTGGGCTCCACTTCCTCTCCGAGCATTTCTCATGCCCATACATGTTTATTCTGGACTTCTCCTTTTTGGAACAGTGATTGCAACTGCACTTATGGGAGTGACAGAGAAGCTGATTTTTGTCCTGTAAGTTGCATAGTCTTTCTAATTATAGTACTTAAGCTACAAAATGTTAAACACTTGTTCATGGGAAAATACATTTTAAAAATATTAAAATTTGTAATGTAAAAAATATTTATTTTTATACAACTTATTATATCATACATGTAATATGACATTGCTAAAATCTTAGAAGAAGGCCCAAAGGTCCAACAAATTGTACCACTATTACAAAACAAATTTTGAAGTTATGCATTCCTTTTCTTTTTTCTTTTTTTTTTTGAGTTAGGGTCTTACTCTGTCACCCAGGCTGGAGTACAGTGACGTGATCACGGCTTACTGCAGCCTCAAACTCACGGGCTTGAGTGATTCTCCAGCCTCAGCTTCCCGAGTAGCTAAAACTACAGGCTTCCAGCACCACACCATCTGCTTTTTTTATTTTTTGTAGATACAGGGTCTTGCCATGCTGCCTATGCTGGTCTCAAACTACTGTGCTCAACCAATCCTCTTGCCTTGGCCTCCCAAGTGCTGGGATTATAGGTGTGAGCCACCATACTCAGCCCCTCTCAATCTTTTTGATGTGCATGTTTTTATACTAATTATAATTACAGTGTACATCCTTTTTCTTTCATCTTTTAAAAATTATTAAGTAATATCAGTGTTCCAGATGTATTGTTATTATACATCTGCATATTATTATTACCTATATCTATTAATTTCTGTATATTATATAGAGTATATTATTTTCATACTTATGAGTTTTAACAATTTCATAATATACCACTGAGTGATTATAATATAACTTAAATTTCTCCTTAAAATCAAGCTTTAAGGGAATTCACATTGAAGTTATACCAGTGTGCATTCTGAGTAGATAAATTCAAGACTGTTAAGCATGTTGCTGTATCCCCCTATTTATAATTGCACACACTTTCTCTTGTTTCTTAGGAAAAATCCTGCATACAGTACGTTCCCACCAGAAGGTGTTTTCACGAATAGCCTCGGCCTTCTGATTCTGGTTTTCGGGGCCCTCATTTTTTGGATAGTCACCAGACCACAATGGAAACGTCCTAAAGAACCAAATTCTACTCTTCTTCAGCCAAACAGAGCCACAACAGAGGAAGTGGATGGTTCCATGGCAATCAACTCTGGCCACAACATGGACAAATCTGATTCGGAGTTAAACAGTGAAATAGCAGCAAGGAAAAGAAACTTGGCCCTTGATGAGACCGGGCAGAGATCCACCATGTAAAATGTTATAGGAATGTAGCCATATGACTTCACTTTGAAAAACGAGCTCTACAGTTTAGCTTCTCCCATTTAGCCATAAAATAATAAGCTACACAATGTCAATGTTTATTTTAATCATAAAAAGATGTCTTGGAAGAGTTAGTATTGATTGAGGCCTATGAACTTACCTGAATTGGAAAGGACAAGATTACTGTAAATGATAGCATATATAAATTGTGGCTATGTTACATTTTTCTCATTGAGGACCAAAGCATTAGCACAGTGCCTTGCACAGAATAGATGCTCAAAATGTGTAACCAGCTGGTTAATTTGATAAACTGGTAGGATCCCTGGCCTCCAGTCATGCAGTCATTTCCTGTTCATTGTGGGAGTCAGTGATTTTAGAACTAAGTAGAACCTGTCCAAAAGTTTTAAAATCAGTTAGTGAATATCTGGGACAGGGTTTAGGCCATTTTGCTACATAGATGTCACAACTAGAGTACAGAAAAAAAAAAAATGGGAAATAACTGGTTTCTTCTTCTGGTGCCTACCTTCTGCTCCCTGTACAGGTGATTTGGGCTCAGATTGGCCCTGGGGACCAGGGTTTATATCAGGGTATTAATGTATTAGAGCACCGGCTGGGCCATAGATAGCTGAAGAGATCTTCTCTGGTCAGACTTGGAAGATTTTCCTAAACTCCATTTAGTCCCTAGACTTTCTTGCGCTTGGTGTACTTTATGATCCAGAGTGTAAAACTCTTAGAATAAAAATATTCCTGCACACTTAACCAGCACAAATTACTCTACAAACCCCAAACACCATTTTTTCTAAGTTTCTGTTTTTATTTTTTAAAGTACTGTCCAGGTATAGTGGCTCACACCTGTAATCCCAGCACTTTGGGAGTCCGAAGTGGGAGAATCAATGAGCCCAGGAGTTCGAGACTAACCTGGGCAACATAACGAGAACTTGTCTCTACAAAAAAATACAATAAAAAAGTAAGCCAGGCATGGTGTCACGTGCCTGTAGTCCCAGGAGGTTGAGGAGGAAGGATTGTCTAAGTCCAGGAGGTTGAGGCTGCAGTGAGCGGTGATCACACCACTGCACTCCAGTCTAGGCAACAAAATGAGACCCTGACTAAAATAAAATAATAAAATAAAACAAAAGTACTTTCATGGCACTTACTATGCACCAGACACTCCTCTAAGCACTTTATAGATATTAGCTCCTTTCATCCCCACACAGACCTGATGAAGTAAGCATTGTTATTATCTCCATTTTACAGGTGAGAGATCTGAAGCCTGGGGAGGCTGGTAACTTGCCCCAGGGTCACACAGCTCATATGTAGTAGAACTGAGATTCAAACGCTGGCAGTCTGGCTTCGCAGTGTTTGATCCTAACCACTTCATTATCTTATTTTTCTGCCTTGTACTAATTTGCACCTACTTCAACCCACCCCTGAATAAACCACAATTGCTGGAGTAGGGTGGAGTTATTAAAGGGATGCTTTTTTTACATTTGTCTTTCTTCCAAGGCAGATTCCCCAGATGACTAAGGAAAAGGGTGCTACTCATACCTGGAAACAGATCATGGACCTCTTGCCGTTGCCAACAGGCTGTGGCCTACCCTTATGCTTTTTTGTTTTTAAAATTGTATCATGGTGACGGAAATATTTGGGAAAGAATATCTGTAGCTTTCAAGATCAATTAATTGCAGTTTTTATTCCTCAGAATCTTAACTGCTGAACAACTTTGAGTTTGGAGCTAGGAGAGAACTATCTCATGGTCTGCCCTTCCCTGGAGCAACAGCTAGGGTCCTTCCTGGTTTTTTGTTTTTTGTTTTTTGTTTTTGAGTTGGAGTCTCGCTCTGTTGCCCAGACTGGAGTGCAGTGGCCGCTCCCAGCCACCACAGCCTCGACCTGCTGGTCTCCGGCGATCCTTCCGCCTCAGCCTTCCGAGTAGCTGGAACTATAGGCGTGCGCTACCATATCCGGCTAATTTTTTATTTATTGTAGAGATGAGGTCTCTCCAAGTTGCCTAAGTGGGTCTCGAACCCGCGGGCTCAGGCAGTCCACTCACCTCGGCCTCCCAAAGTGCTGGGATTACAGGCTGAGCCACCAAGCCCGGCCCCTTCCTGGTTTTTATGGAATGTTAGGGGATACTTTGAGCTTTGGGTTCTCAGTTGTGAATTGAGACTTAGAGGTGACAACTTTTCATACATGGAGATTTCTAAACCTGGTAGTGCCTATGCGGAAATGATGCTTTTCATTTGGGAGTTAATTTTTGGCTCCCCCTAATTTTTTTTTTTTTTTAAATCAGAGTCTCACTCTGTCACCCAGGCTGGAATGCAGTGGCATGGTCACGGCTCATGGCAGCCTCGATTACCTGGGCCTCCTACGCTCAGGTGATCCTTTGCCTCAGCCTCCCTAGTAGCTGTGACTACAGGCACATGCCACCTCGCCTGGCTAATTTTTCTATTTTTGGTAGAGACAGGGTCTCGCTATGCTGCCTAGGCTGGTCTTGAACTCCAGGGCTCAAGCAATCCTCTAGCCTTGGCCTTCCAAAGTGCTGGGATTACAGGCATGAGCCACCGTGCCTGGCCTGCCTTAATATTTTTGGTGATTAATGTATTCCCTTTTAGGTGACCAGTAATTACATCCAAAGACTGAATATGAGTTACACTCTATCATATCCCTTAAACTTCATGGATAACCATTTAAGATTCCTCTGCTGCAACACTGTTTTCTTCTGATTTGCTTAATTCTATTTCCAAAATTGGTAATGATGTCAGAAGGATACCCAGTGCCCAGCCCAATGCCTGGGACATAGTAGCACAATTAAATTCAATGTGGGTAGTGTATGGTACAATCTGGGTGTTATGTAGGAGTAATTGCATGGTCACACATTTGACAAATAACTGTTTCATTGCATAGAGGTGCACAAAACTCCAGGATTTTTTGAGGGGGCAGAGGAATAGTGACTAAGCCCCAAGAATTGAGGCTGCCATTTTTTTCTATATTAGCCAAGAAATAGATTATCGGTGAAAAAGTTAATTATGGATTTGGCACTAGAATAGCTTGATTGCAAAGAATTTGAACACTCAGCCCTTTATTTTATCTTTCATGTGGGCTAATGTGAGCATAATCCTACAGATATTATAGGAACTACTTTTCTTCCTTTCTCAGCTTTTATGAAAACAATGCATAGTAAAATATATCTAAAAAACCTTTCTGTTTTAGATTCTCCTTTTAATAGACTTTTTATTCTAATGATAATTGTACCTTTAATCTTTCAAAAGCTGCTATTTTCTACCTAAAGCAGCTCTCCTAAAAATATCTCATTAAAAAGCCTACAAAGAATAAGAAGAAAGCCTTGGCTATCAATCCCAAAACAGTGATTGAAACCTCCCCAAATAATTATAGCTTATATCATCTGCAGAGATAATCTGGCTTGGTTTACCCCATAATCTAATTTCAGAAAAGAAAGCTTTATTTTAACACTCACCTGAATCAACATTAAAGCCTTTTCTTTATTGAGGGTTTATTGAGAAACTCCAAAGAATATACTTTTTAAATTAATGTCATCAAATGTGTACAGCTTCTAGTGCTTCTGTGTCAAACTGAATCTGCCCTCCAAAGCATTTTCTTTCCCTGTGTGATTTCATTTAAGTTGTGCTGTTTAGAGACAACCATCTCAGACTTTACAACAAAATGGCAAAGAAGGCAATCGCACTTTTAAAGAAACACTGACAAGTGGTTTCTGTTTTCTTAAGCACAAAATAAAGAGTGTGTCTCGTTTTTAATTAAGCTCTTTCTCCTGCTGAGTTGGAAATTCCAGCGCGGTACTGATTGTCCACACCTGTCAATCTAAAAACACAAAGGAAGAAATAAAGCTTTATGGTAATTTTATTTCCATGTGATGGGATTTTTATCTTGGTACGTCTTTTTTTTCCGACAACTCCAACAGAAAACTGAAACTCCTATGTCTTATGGAAAAGTGTAGAAGAAAGGAAATTATTACACTTTATCCCTTACAAGATAGCTGAAAACCTTAAGTGCAAAAGATTTTTATCTTTAAATTTATCTTAACTCATTTATGGGAAAATATTAAATATCTTGAATATTTAAAAATTTTGTAGGAAAAAATATGCATCTATTTTTTTCTTGACTTGTTTTTATTTAGTAATAAAAGTTTTTTGGAAGCTCTTTGTGTGTGTTGTCAATTTATCCAGGCTAGAAGGTATAGGGTTTTGTTGTTAAAGTTTCTTTCTGTGGCTTTTTTTTTTTTGTCTGTTTGTTTTTCAGTGGGGATAACCTTTATAAGTTCCTTTATTGAAAATGCTGTCAGATTTCTCTATAAAGTGTATTCTAATACACTTCTGATGCCATACCTTTTATTTTGCTAGAAGTATCAGAGGACTGCTGCAAAGCTGTCATGGTGTTCCCCTCCACACAGGATCTGAGTTGGAACCACAATCTGTAGTGTGGAATGGGTGCCAGAGATGTAGGTAACCCACTTCAAAGCAAGGTAAAACAATTCCTAAAGTTTTAAAATCAGATCTTAAGAATCTGGGACAGGATTTAGAACATTATGCTAGACAGATATCATGATTAGCGTGTAGGAAAAAAAAATCTAAGAAAGTAACTGGTTCCTTCCTCTCCATGCTGGCCTTCTGCTCCCTCCCTAGCTGGCTTGGGCTCATATTGACCCCAGAGACCAGCGTTTATATTAGGGTATTAATATGTTAAAGCAACCAGTTAGGCCATAGGTAGAAGTATCAGAGATGCCGTGTAAGTTGGAAAATCATGGAAGTAAAGCCTTAAAAGTGCTGGTTGTGGGCGTGGTGACATGTGCCTGTAGTGCCAGCTACTAGGGAGGCTGATGCAGCATTGCCTGAACCCGGGAGATTGAGGTTGTGATGAGGCATGATGGTGTCACTGCACACCAGCCTGGATGATGGAGTGAGATTCCGATGCAAAAAAAAAAAAAGTGCTGGTTGTTAACCAGAACTCTGAGTTTATACTAACTTGTCCTTTAGAAGGCACATAATTTATAATAGATAAACTGATTTGTTAACTGGATTTTCCCCAAATAAGAAAGAAGAATCATCAGCATCCAAGTAGTATCAAAACTCATCCAATCTCGATGTGATCGCTCATTTAGCCTTTTTCTCCTACTTTTTGTCCCTAGATTATTTTATGTATGTATCCATAATAATACCGTAATGCTATATTCCCATTAGGCAATAGAGCTGTAATAGTGTATATGAGTTGAATTTTTATGTTGTATCATATTTTGTCATTGATTTATATTCATTTCAGCAGTATTATATCTCATTTCAGGTTTATCTTAATTGGTAAGTACTTTTAGCATTTATAAATATTATGGTTGAAGCAGATTACCATACAGTTATATATATATATATATATATATATTAGCTCATTTAATTTAATTTGCAATTGCACTAGTGAATGTGCACATACCTACTGCCTATAGTCTATAATTAAGTTTGCTATATATACTTTATCACATTTCTACTTATCTATCCATCCCTTTATTCACCAACTATTCCATCCTAAATTATTGATACACTTTAAAATAACACAAGCATTAGTACATTGGTGTGAATGGTTATTCTTGGTTTGTTTACAACCATAGAGAAAAAGCATTCAATATTTTGTCATTAAATATGTCATACATGACCTTCATCAGGATGAGGAATTTTAATTTGCTGAGTTTTTTAAAATCATGAATGGGTGTTAAAATTATGTCAAGTGATTTTTCTGCATCTACTGAAATAATCACTTGCTGTTCTTA